CACCCACACCCACACCCACATCCAACCAACAAAGACATACCGATAGAAAAACTCATTCTATTTCCTTCGAATTTGCTTCCGAAAGAGCGAATATAAATTCTTTGAATGATGTTTTCCATGCAATGTACTCTTCAGATATTGTATCCATACAAAAAGACCGTTCTCATACTCTATTTGAAAATATTTCTCAGTTTTGTGCCACGTCAGGTCCCATTGAAACCCATCAAATCTAGACCACTAACATTTTCCCGGTGAATCCTAACATCTTGACACCTTCCCTCAGGAAACTTTTCAGTGCAGCGGCTAGCCACTGCCACGTGTAATCCTATTCTCCCATGAGATCATGCTTTTTGATTTAGACTGTATCAAATTCCAGACTGCTCTTACTTCGAAAAATCATCAGATTTACAAAACGAGAACCTTTCATGGGCAGTTCCAAACCAGTACTTTGTTATTAACTATTCCTTATTTCTTCAACCTAATTGTCTAGCTGAAAAGGTAGAGTTTTGTTAGAATTCCTGATTATGAGAATCTTAGTGCAGAATTCTCAATAAACCTAGCTTTCACATAGATCTTTTCTGAAGTGAAATTAGAGTGCGCTTGCGATACGAGTCATGAGTCGTTCGTCGGTGTTACTTACAGCCATTCGCTCCATTATTTGAATACAATAAAACAATATTTGGTTATTTTACATTTACCATAAAGGTTGTGACCTCATTTACAAATATCTTTTTATATTAGCTTTTTCAAGCTACACTGACTATATAGACATTACACGAGTAAGAATTCCTGAAAAAATATGTGAATAATTGAAAGCTTACCCAGAATAAAATATAACGAGTGTAGAGTTAAATAATGTTAATGTCGGATCGACTAAAACGAGGCTTTGAGTTTCAAAATTACTTATCAGCAGATTATCGTACCTGTAATCACGCTAATATATTTGAATACATTACACTCCTCATGATTGCAAAATCATAAACTCATTTTCTTTCATATGATCCTTGCTCGATTCGAGGAAAAACGTCATTTCTAATTAGTTCATTTTCTGATCAAGAAAAGCTGAAATCCGAAAACTGACTTTACAGTTAGGTCCCTCGATGTCGATGACCTACTACAATGCTATATCAGAAGATCGAAAAACCTTAAAACAGCAAGAAGTTGCTTGTTAAAAAAAATCGTGCTTATTTTTACAAAACTATCTTTCTAGACAAAAGCCTTTTTGTGGAAGCCAATTTTTTTCAGAAAAATTCATGTCAAAAAATTCAAGTCAAAATTTTGAGAAACCGATTACAGACGAAGATTTCCCGATCTCAATTACCTATCGTGAAACTTTTGCAGATACGCCTGAATAAAGTTTCTCTCCGATGTTTTTTGACCTCGCGACAAACAGACACACACACACACAAATCCTTTTTAGTTTTATTCACATGACTCTCTACAGTCGAGAGAACTACGATACATTATAACGAAAATTCGATGATATATATCACTATCTTCTTGGCTTTGTCTTTGTTTCTTTTGATTTTGGTACACTTCCATTACTTGTTGATATCACTTGATCTTTTATTTCAACACTACTCTTGTTTACATATAAATTCTTACACCACTACACGTATCAGTCGCATATGTGTGTTACGTTGCTTGATCTCGCTCTCGACTGTCACTATCATCAACCGTTTATATCCTCTACTATTTTCTTCTCTATTGCAGTCTGTTCTTCTCGTCAAAAGAGAACAATGAGCATATATAGAGGGTATAGCGCAGCGGTTACACAAGTATTGAAAAAGAACAATGTATAGAGCAACAATTACAATGGTATTGAACAAGTATTAAGCAAGTATTGAACATTATGAGCAGTATTACATATGGATATAAGGATGACATTGTACTAGAGATGGTATGAAATCAGAGTGACATAACTTAAGGATGATATCATATTCGAGTGATAGCATATAACATTGGTGCATCTCTTGACACATATCGCCTCGGCTGTGTTAGGAGCCATGAAAAATCTAGTTGAACGAAAGTAACCGATCGAAAGCCTTTGATAGGCTCGATTCACAGGCTTATGGCACCTGCTTGGTCGAATCGCCGATGTCAAAAAAAGCCTCATTGGCTGATTTTCCGGCTTCAACGACTCTGATTAGTAGAAAGCGCGAGGTGGAAAACCCTGAATGACTGATTTTCGGGCTTGAAGGAGGCTAATTGGTCGAAAGCGCGACATCGAAAACCCTTGATTGGCTGTTTTCCAGCTTGAAAAAATCTAATTGGACGAAAGTCCGAGGTCGAGAAATTTTGATTGGGCGATTTCTCAGGATGAAAGACCGATTTTGTGATCCTGTGTTTTTTGACCATGCACAAACACACAAACGCATTTCACTTTTTTTCGTATGACCCTTCCTTCAGTCCAGGAAATATCATTATTTTCTCAAAAAACCATTTCCTGAACCCAAAAAATTCAACTCAAAATTCTGAGAAACTAACTTCTGATTTGGGTTCTCCGACCTCCATTTACTTTCGTCAACCTTTATAGAAAAATTCACCTTTGATTTTTTTTTTGACCTTGCCACAGACAGGCACACTCCTTTCACTTTTTTTCACATGACACTTCCTACAGTCGAGAGAATAAGATAAGATTTATTTCTCGGCAAAAAATTCATCGGATCTTCCTGAAGTAATTGTTGAAACTCTTCAATCATCGATTTCATCAACAATAGATACTAATAAAACAAATCCAGGTCAAAAAGAGAAAAATGAAAAGAAAAAAATCTAAACAATAAAAATTAAACTCTTTCTAATCAACAATTTACACAAGTAAATCTTATTCGTAATGTTAAAGAAAATCACATTTTAAACTTTGTCTTTTTTTAGTCAATTACACTCGAAGAAGAAAGAAGAGTTCCACCACGATGAACTTTTCGGCTGATTCTTCAATTAATCAACATTATAAATCATATTCGTATGATATTGGTTCTTTAAAAAGTATTCACTCAATTGAAACATCAATTGATGATTCTCAAATGACACAAAATCGTCCAAGTATTGATGAAGAAGAAAGATCTTTTATTGATTCAACATCCAATGATAATCGAAATGAACCAACAACATGTAATTAATGTTTTTCTTTAAAAATAAATCATCTTTCTATAATTTTCCAGTAATAAAGGCAATTCAATCAATGATGGACAATTTAAAACTTGATTTTAATAAACGTTTTAACAATTTGGATGAAAAATTCTAAACTATGTTTGACCAATTAGTACAAAAATTAGATAATATTTACGAATCAAATGTTATTATACCAATAATGAATAAGATTCGTGCAGATCACAATTTAGAAATACCATTCGTATCAATAAACCGGATATTTCGTTCAAGTTATTCAGAGAAGAGCAAAAGGTTATTTAATGATTTCGAACAATATCTTATTGAAAATTACAAAGATCGATGGACAAAACAATACAATACAATTTTAGTATCGATGAAACCGCAACAACTTGAATTCGATATACTCGGCTTCGTATTCGAACATATAAAAGAAGAACGTCGTATTATTGAATCTCCTAATATTGAACCAGTTAAGACGACTTCATCATGTAATTATCTTGGGTCGTTCAAAGTCCATACCATTATTTGTGGTGAAGTGACAACATTAACTCTCACCTTCAACAACAATGATTTATTATTACTTGAAAAGGTAGTTTAATATCATTTTTTTTTTCAATATTTCTAAATATCTTTCTATTATTGTTTAATATAGAATATTTCTTCGAATTCATCTAATCCACAAACAACAAAAGCAATATTCAAGCTTTTAAATAAACTTATTCACCTTGAACGTTGTGTGGCTTTCATTCTAAAATATTACAAAAATATAACATTTGAACAGATAATAGCTGTTTCATTTGGTTGGCTTGTCGATGCCCAACGTCATCGAGCACCTCAACACCTCTATGACATGGTTTTTACGCCTTCTTTCTCGTCAAAAGTTCCTCTATTATATAAACTATATTTACCTGATCGTGATGATAAAATAAAACATATTTATTTCATATGTTAATATGGACGTTTGAAATTTCTTCTTTTCTTACAGATAAAAGATAATCGGGAGAAAAGTTGACATACAGTGTTACAAAGGAGAAAAAGCGGATTGTGGTGGATGCTGGATTCCGCTAAGATGCTTAGTATTCGTTAGCATCCACTAGTTTCTTTTTTTATTTGATTATTCTTTATTTTATGTAGTGGAGAATTAAATAATATTAATGAAGATTAAGCCAAAATATGTGCTGTAACAGGAATGATTGCACTAGATAATCATGGTTCAACAGTAAGAACCATTATTTTTCTTATTTTTGTTCTTTTTGAGATTATTGAATAGGTATGAAAAGTCTGTTGAAATGCATTTGGTTCATTACTTTATAGTTGTGATGATGATGAACAGATTCTAAGGTGAAAAGGTTGGATTTGATATAGAAAAAATTTAATTATATTGAAGAATTTGTAGGTACATTTAATGATCCATGGATATGTGAAAGCAATCTAAGCCTTCAATCTGAAGCATTTAAAAGAGTTAAAGCTGATGCAAATCAATCAATGGAATCAGTAAATTAGAAAAGAAAAAAAATGAATTTCTGAAATAAAAAATATTTATTTTAGGTATCAAAAGAAGAAATAGTTCTAATTGATTGATGTCAGATTATTATAATATTATTGATAGGATATTGCTGAGACTACTGTTGACGTATCTTCTTCATCTGGTGGATCACATTGAATGCGATCAAGATTTACATCTGTTGATATTGACAGTAAGAAAAAAAACTAGTCTATTAATCATGTTTTGTATTTGAATAGATATTGTCCCATCAATCACAGCTAATGATTCATTGGATCTTGGTGTTAGCAGTTCGTTAGACTCACAACAACAACCACGACGTCGGACTAATTGTGTACATAATCAAAGAACAAATACAGAAAGAACTATTTGGAACGACGCATGTTTGATAGTTTGTTTGTTTTATTGATAAGAAAAAGATTTTTTTCTTTTATGAAAACAAAAGAAGTTGAAATTCGTGATGATTCAAATGATTTAGTTCCGAAAACATCTTATCAACAAACATCTATTGAAGATTCACATAGATCAGACGATCAAAAATTACACGATAACGCTCAACAATCAACAACAAATACTGAAAATTTAAATGGTTCACGTGATCTTATATCTCGATTTGAACATAATCCATCATCAACAACAACAACTAAAAAATCATTAACTAATTTATCACCAACATCTCCAACATCATCTTCATCAACTTCAAGAACAATTCGTTCACAAATTCAAGATCCATCCGAAAAACCTTTAACAACAACAACTTCTTTACAATCATCAACAAATTCAAATACTATTATGAATGGCATGACGTCTTGAATACCATTTGCAGTTAATAAAAGATTCGAAAGAGGGTGTGAATGTGGGGGTGAGTGTGAGGGTAGGAGCGTCGGTGTTGGTGTGGATGTGGGCGGGTGTTATCTCCTCTTATACCCACACCCACACCTACACTCACGCCCGCACTGCTAATTCGAATAAAATTCATAACTTCGAAGTTGTTTCCAATACCACGACTGCGTACTTGCTTGTGCTGGTCGTTTTCTGATTATTGTGACAATTTCAGACATAATAGGCACTGTTTAAGAGCTAGTATTCTAATACTTTAACCCTTTGGGGACCGAAGTTTTAATCGAAAAAAAATTTTTCAACTTTTTTATTTTATTTTAATTCAAAATGACTTCGTAAAAATCTAACGAAAATCAAAAAAACAATTTTTTACAGCTTTTAAACAAATAATGGCAATTGGTCAGTAAAGCGCTCCATGTTGGATGGTACTTCTGTGTCTTTAGTACTCAAAATAAGCACATATTGTTTTGCTTGTTTCTTTCACAGACAAATGCATTTCATTGTCAAAATTAAGGACAGCTTTTGATGATGCTAGTTTAGACTTCTTTTCAAAAGGAGACGGTCTTCCACGACTTAGTCATTCACGGCCGGAGCATAGACCAGCAAGAACAAAGAATATTTGGAAAGAATATATATATGAGAGAAGGAGAGAAAGAAAAGAAAAGTATGAGATGACAAATACAGTTGTTTATGACCTTACATATTTAATAGTTAAATGTGAACTAAACACTTTTTTCTCTACTCAGAAACAGATGGGACAAATATGACCCGCAGGTCGTCAAAGGATTATGAGTATAATCAAAATCGCAACCATACTGTATTTTTCTCCTTCCTTATATACTATTTCCCAGCATAGAAGGACCTTATAAAATAAAGTAACCACAATAACAGAAAAATATGGGGTATAAGGACAGATTCAGAGAAGAGCAAACATTAGGCTACAATTATGGGTAATGCTATGTACAAGAGAAGGACACGTCGAGCGTCCGATACCAAAGTACATGTAAGAGAAGAACGAGATAAATATAACAAATAGAAAAAGACATTATGGTTATTCCTTATATGGATAACACTATGTACGAGAGAATGCCGAATTAATAATGCGATTGCAAAGTAGATATAGAAGAAGAACGAGATGAAAGTACACAAGGGTACGGATAAACAACAGACAGAAAAGGAATCGTAGCCATTTCAATTGAGGATAAGCACCAACTTTCATGCTACATTAATTGTTACAATTATGTTTATATTCGAGAGATGTATGTTCGAATTATGAGTGTTCCAGTCCTGATAGCGACATTCAACATGAATTCAACCATGCCATACCGAAGTGATGACTGGTTTTGATGAAGATGTCAAGGTTTGCAAAGCTTTTAATTCTAAGACTTCATAACAAACTTTGTTTAAAAAGCTTTTGTTTTCACCCAGATACGCCCAAAATACTGAAAATAGGAGAAATCGAAATATACTGAAAACCACTTTTTTACTTAAATTATTTAAAAATAGTTTTCGTCATGTTTTCAAACTAAACCAAGGTTAAAAAGAAATCCAAGGATATATTCAGATTCCTCGTTAAAAGTTGGATCTAGCCGTACTAAATATATCCTAAGTTTAGAAGAAAACCCACTCCGAAATATGATGTTAACCGTAAAACCTTTAGTACTTTTCAGAGCATTCTTATGCTCAGGATTTTTGAAAAAAGTGGACTTGCTCGATATGGTGGTATAGTATATTCGATAGAGCTTCACCTGCGATACAATCCTAATGACACAGAATTTTCAGCGTCTTTACCAAAGGTAAAATAAACGATCAACTTCGAAAAATATTACATTTTTGTACACTTCTAACATAGGTTTTTAGAGGTAAATCCCATAATTTTTATACCTAAGTACTTCCAACTGCGATGAAATTTTGAGGGTTTGCAGAGCTTTTAATTGTAACAAATTTGATGCAAACCGTTTGAAAAAGTAACGTTCCATTCTCGAAATATTAAATTATTTCGGAGCCCACTATCGTGAGCATTTTTCTATAGGAAGATGTACACAACTTCGTTATGAAATTATTGGAAGAATTTAATTGTTTAAAATAAATTGCATACAAAATGTATCAGTATCTAACTCTCTATTACTTTCCATAAATATATCCTTTCAGAATAGAAAATATTTTTTTTCGAAAATTCCCGTACCCCCCCCCCCCCCCCCCTCCAGATCTTGTCGTGCAATATACTTGCGTGAAAATCAGGGCGTGGGTGTGGGTTTGAAGAAAGGATCGCCAGCACACCCACATCCAACAGATGTACGATTAACATCATATTTCGGAGTGGGTTTTCTTCTAAACTTAGGACATATTTAGTGTGGTTAGATTCAGCTTTTCATGAGAAATCTGAATATATCCTTGGTTTTCTTTTAACCTTGGCTTAGTGTGAAAACATGACGAAAACTATTTTTAAATAATTTAAGTAAAAAAGTGGTTTTCAGTATATTTCGATTTCTCCTATTTTCAGTATTTTGGGCGTATCTGGGTGAAAACAAAAGCTTTTTGAACAAAGTTTTTTATGAAGTCTTAGAATTAAAAACTTTACAAACCCTGAAATCTTCATCAAAACCAATCATCACTTCGGTATGGCATGGTTGAATTCATGTTGAATTACCTAATACCGATTTCGATTTCGGGAGTTGATTACAATTAGAATTGGAAAAAAATGGAATCGACTTCAACTAAAATTGGTGAATTTTCGCTAATTTTCTTGGACAATGAGATTCGGGCACTGTGCTTTCAAGTTTTTACAAATGCTTTGCGAGGTCAAAGAATTCGAATCTGCAATTAGATTTGAAAAAATTTTATGTACCTAGAAGTGTGTCCTACAATTAGACTTCTGATTTAGATTTCTCGACTGCTAAAACGTTTCATGGAGCCTCGTAATAATTCAACCCATTTATCGTTGTATTGTCTCGAGTTTCATTTAAAGTCATTTTAGAATTTTTCGAATCTGATTGTAGATTCGTGTTCTCCATATACGGGAACTCTCTGTAAAACGTTGAAAACGCAGCAGCTGAATTGTGTTCTCCTAGAAAATTAGCGAGATTTCAATAGTGTTAGTTTAAGTGTGTTTTCATGCGCTTCGGATTTTTTCCGATGCCAATTGATTCCCACCCATGCCAGAAATAGAGGTTGGTGGGACTGGAACTAGTCCATTCATAGTGTGAACTGTTTGTGGAGTTTTGATTGACTTTGACAAAGAAGAAACTTCGATTTTTAAGATTTTCGTTGAATATAGATTATGTCTTGTTTCACTAGTTTAAAACTGAATTTTACACAAAAAAAAGAAGCTTGATTTTTCCCGAACACAATGGTCTAAGGTGTCTAAGTAAATTAGTCTCTTTCCGGGCAGAACAACCAGAAAAAGGCTCATATTACAAAGAAAAATATACCTACATACTACTAATCATAGGTAGCCAACAGTCTTTCTCATGTTATCGAGAGTTTTGACTGAGTGATTATTACCCAATCACATGCAAACTTCATCCCTCTACCTTCAGGGCGTAACGTTTCATGAATTTAGAGAATGATCTATTGTAATATCCCGTTGTCCTGGAAGCTCATGCAACTCGTATGCTATGAAATCGTACGAGAACAAGTGCTGCATTTATTCAATGTGATGGTCTTCACTAGCAACCACATGTGGCCATGAGTTACACAAACTACTTATGCCATGAGAAACATTACATAAATGCAGCACTGGTTATCGTGCATTGTCATGAAATATGAGCTGTAAGTACTTCGAATATGTAGGTATACGCTCCTCGTTTATTAAGATCGGTGGCCAAGGGACTCTTGGCGGGTCTTTAGTACTATTTACGTGGCTATATATGAATATGTTCTCGTTTCTTTTGGCCACTTGTAAGTAAATATATATTCATATGAATACTTTAGAAATTCCCTAGTTTTCCCTTCCAAAAATAGCGTAGTATCTGCATACATATATACCTATGAATAATTCTAAATTTGCCTTAATCTACATTTCATTATGCGAACAAGTGGTTTTCTTGTTGTAAATTCAGATTGAAATTAAATACCCAATTGTACGAAAATGAGTTGGCAATCGTACGTCGATGATCAGCTTGTCGAGCGTGGTCTTTCAGCTGGAGCCATAATTGGCTTCGATGGCAGCACTCTGGCCTCATCTAGTGGCTTTGGCCTGAAGTTTAGAGTCATCTCATCCTTTTCGCATCATTAATATATTTTTTTATCTTTCAGGCCTGGTGAACGCATAGCAATAACTAGCCTGTTCGTAAATCCTTCAGACGTCTTCGCGAATGGTGTAACCATCGATGGCAACCATTACTTCGGTAGCAAGGTAAGCTTGTCTTGGTTTCCTGACAAATATTGCTGTGGAAGAGCTTAGAAATATTGTATTTTTTGCCTCTTACATTCATCAATTTTATTTAGGCTGATGAACGCTCCATATACGCAAGGAAGGGTGCAGAAGGTGTGAATATGGTCAGGACAAACCAAGTTATCATAATCGGCATCTACGACAAGAACCTTTCACAGAACGATGCTGCTTCTATTGTAGAGAAACTAGGCGATTATCTGCTGGAGAGCGGCTATTAAGCTTAGTGTCGAACATAAGAAAATCGAACTATATCTCAGAACACTAATTCTTGGATTTTAGCTTATGTGTAGCTAGATAAATCAGTAATAAATATCAAGGTGCGGGAAAAGAATTTAACATTTTTCAAAACAGAAGATGACAATGGAAAATAAAAATGCTCACATATGCCATCTTGTTTAGCCTGTGGGCTCGTTGAGAAATAATACAATGTGTAACCAATCATGCACAACTTCTCTCCCTGTGGAATGGGATGTGCAACCAATGATGTAATAGCTTTATCTCTTCTTCCAAAAAAAAACAGAAAAGGAGGAAAGAGGACAGGGCTTACTGCTAGTTTTGAAGTTTCAGAAAATTATAA